GTAGGCTTTCTAGGTTTTTAACGTGCTCAGTTGCTTGCGGAACTCTCAAGTCAAGGAAGGTTTTCCAAGTCTGAGGCTTTCCTCTCCAAAGCAACCTTGTGGAAGCTGAACCTGTGCAAAAGTAGATGCTCAGCCAAAAGTCCTCACATCGGTGGCCTTGCTGGGTTTGGCCTTGTTGTCGATGTGTTGTAGCTTTGCGTTTTTTGCATTTTGTTCACTTTACCATTTTGATTTGTCTTCGTTTGTGTTTTTCCTTTTAATTTCGAAAGAGGCAAGTTTTGATGTATTTTCGTCGTTTTTAAGCTAGCGTCGTGTGACTTGCCAATCAGTCTGCACAAGAGTTGCAAGGTTTGAAGCCGTTGTTGCTTCTCCAGAAGACATGTGACCACTGGAGGCTCTGAAATACCAAAACTGTTGGATGACTTGCTGAAGTTCGCTGTCAATGTCTGGATGCACGACCCGCTGGAGGAAAGGTTTTCATTTGAAAGGAAGCGGAAAGCCTACGAATAAAAGCCTTGCATCTTCATCCCCATCCATTGGAAGGCTCGACCTACAGCACCTGCTATTTGCAATTTGTTAAGGAAGACTCATGTTTTTTGAGTATTTCGTGGTCTTGTGTCGGCACCCATGTCTCAGAATTTGCCTCAGAAAAGTTTGTGCCAAAGTTTTCGGCGGCAGGTATGTGTCCAGGGTTTCAATTTGGTTTGAATGGTTTGGCAAGGAGATGCCGCCCTGTGATGACCGTATGCAGCTATCCATGGGCTTGTATCGGGACGAGTGATTGTAGAACATGAGACGAATTTGTTCCAAAGGGTTTGTTGTTCACAATTGCAGAAGACTTTACTTGCTTGGTCCAATGCCGAAATCAACATTGAAATTCATTCCGGTTCGGCAGTTTTCACATCCATTGTGCTTCAATGTGTCGGTGATGGCAAAAAGTATTCAATTCAATCTTTATTCCGTGACCACCACCCGAAACCTTGGAGGCTATGTGATGGCGGCGGTAGCATTGAAAACTCTTTAGACCGTTACGTTCGTGCGTTGCATAACTGGAACATGCAACAGTTTGAACATGCATTCACAGAGCATGCGGCGGAAATTGTGAAAGATCGTGTTTGGACCATGTTTTTGCATGCGACATGAAAAACAATTGTGCTTCCACCTCTCTTTGGAGGGCAAGATCGTCGCAAACGCCCGACTTGTCATCACATAGGTATTTTGCTCCAGCCCACCAAAACTTGAAGCAGCCATGGCACCTAAGGCGGCCGCCTTCGGAGTTTTGCTTCTGAGTGCGGCCGCAACTGATTCGGGATGGAGTGCCTTGAGCCAGCCAACCTTCGGTCGCCGCACACAGGCCTTGCCGGATGGGTTCGAAATTAATGAGACGATGAACGGCAGTATCCCGATCACGGTCATCCCGTCTTGGGATATCTTCCTCGGCTTCAGTGACCGCCAGAAAACCATCGAGGGTCGAATGTCCCTTAACGTTGTGTATGGCGAGGAGGCCGAAGATTTCGTTGAGCATCCAGAGAACATGGTGGATGTTGTGAATTTCGGTTCTGGCTCTGGGGACATCAATGTCCTCAGCAAAGTACGCTTATGGGATCCTAAGACTACGAAGACGGCCTCCAGTGTCAGCAAGATTTACGCGGGCGACTTCTCTCAATCGCTCTATCCCTATGTTTCTCGGTCGCAGTACTGTCAGCACGGTAGACAGTTTTTGTGAGCATCTCATTGGGCTGTTTCTCATGAACATTCACTGGGCTCGAGTAGCATTGTTTAGGATGTTTGCAATGAATGATTGATCGCCTCAGGACATGATGTGTTATCCCTTCGACATCAAGACCGTGCACTTCCAGATTAGCCTTCAGAACCCGTGTGGCATCTTCTACCGCCTCGAATTAGGGTGTGTCGGGGAGAACAGTTGGAAGCAGGCTGTGGATGAGGAAGACGGCAAGGTCCGCAAGTGCTCCTGGCCCATCAACGCTTCTTTCGTGACCTTCGACTGGCAGAACTTCACTTGCACTTTACGGGACAGTGTGACGATCGATTGTGCTATGACGGGGACCAGGCAGTGGCCCGCACTGTTGAAGACTTATATGTGGCCATCGGTGGTCTACGGCGTGATGGGCTTTATGTCGTTCAGTTTGGGTGTGAAGCTGTCAATGCCCCGTGTTGCCACAACCATGCTGGCCTTGTTGTCACTGACGAATTTGCGGAATCAGGTCATCGCTTTGTTGCCTCTTTCTCAAAAGACGAGCTGGATGGAGGACGTCCTGCTTTTCTTCATGCTGTGTGACGATGTCCGTTTTTTGTGGTGTGCGAGGGTTTCATGCGGCTGCTTCGCACTAGGTAGTCCCGAGCCCAGGAGTACTTCTTGATTGCGATTTCCTTCATGTGCCTCAACCTGCTCGGGCATGCTGCATCCTTTCACCTCGATGCCACTGACCGCCATCACACGCAGAGAATGGTGAACAGGTTCAATCTTTGGGGGGTGAGTGCGCTGTTCGTGCTTGTCGTCGTGGCACGGATGCATGTCAGGGAATGCCCTTTAATCGATCCGACCGTGTCCCTGACCCTCACCTTCGGGGCAGCATTATTGTTCATCTCGATCACCGCTTTCCTCGTCTGGTACCACCGCGAGGCCTTCCGGGAGGCTGGCCGCAGAATCACCGAGCGGGCCTTGCTGGCAAAATCCTTCGTGTCGGACGACAGATCCAACGCGGTCTGAGGGGCTTTCTAGCTGATCTCTCGGCCCAGCAAGCGTGCCGAGTTTTGTTTGAATTAGGTTTGCGTTTCCGCATAGATGGTCTCCATGCTTTCCGTCAGGCCCTTCCGATCATTGGTTTGCATGGCCACCTGAGCAAATCATGGCCCGCTCCTCGACCCAGCCTGGGGCGGCCCAAGAAGCGGACCAGCCTCAAGGCCTCCGGCGAGATTCATTTCCTCAATGCACAAGTCATTGCGAGCGGATCATAAAGTCCACTGCAGCCGCTGATGCCCGCTCTGCCACTTTTCGCTCGCCTTGCCAGGGCACCGCCCTAGTAGGAACCTGTGCCAACGAACCCAAGTACCAGGAGCAGGACAGAGCTTTTGAGTGGATTGCTGCTGGTAGCACGGAGCATGTCAGTATGCGCTACAAAGCCCTGCTCTCTCGCAGCCACCTGTTCATCACCGCCCGAAGCTTCATCACGAGTCTGTCACAGGTGCACCTCTCCAGTCCCAGATAGGTTGGAGGTTTGTAACGCTGCGTGGCTTGTGAGGTCAAAGGATTCCTTTCTTCGCGCCCCTCAGCAGCTTCAAGCAAGCCTTCGCAAGCATCTTCTTCTCAACACAGTTTTCCCACTTCTCAACAGAGCTTCCGCCCATCGACGTCCGAAGCCCATGGGCTGGTTTTGGGGGTTCTTAGTGCCCCCAGCGGAGCGGCCCAGAGGGCCCAAAAGGTGGGGAGGAGCTCCAGTGGCCCTGGCGTGCTGCCTCGTGGCAAGGCCCATGGCTGACTTTGGATGGGCTCGGGCTTTGAGAACCCTTGTGATTTGCAATTCGATGCTGGAGTTCGGTTGTGGTCTTTGAGGGCTTCGAATGTGTGTGTTCGCCGTGTTCGCCGTGTTCGTCTGCCCTTCCTTTTCACCACAGGTGTCTTTGGAGCAGTGCGGACACGACGGCTGCCGTAAACGCGCTGCCGGCATCTGACAAGCTGACCAGCAACTCCACCGTAGCGCCCGAGCACATTTGGCTGCTCCCTCTTGAGACGGAGCTCTGGGTGAAGCGCGTTCAGCGCCGGCGGCTGATCAAGATTTTGAATCAGCTGCCACTTGGCGGAAATGCTACGCTTGGCTTCCAGAGGGCGCACTTAAAGCCTGTTTTGTTTGAGCGCTTGCAGCCGTGGCTGACCAAGGACCGAGACTCGGAAGTACCTCCGCACGGCCAAGGAGCTGGGATACCCTGAAGGGGGGGGGCCCAGCTCCGGTTTGCCCCGAGGAGCTGGAGCAGCAGGGCCCCGATGGCTCCCACCTGGCATCTCGGCAAGGAAGGGGCAGTGCATGTGAGGTTCTGAGATCTTCGAAGTGTCGCAGCAAAACTGACCGAGTTCGATGTAGGCGGAGTCGTCCCCGTGCCTGTCGGGCCTCCTGAGGTGAACCAGCCGGAGATCCCCGAGATGGTGCAGACGGCTCCACCCAAGGAGCTGCCGCAGCGGCCCGGCAGAGTTGGGGGGGCCTTGTCGTCTTGGAGTTCGAGGCTTTTTCGTTGGCGACCCTTTAAAGGGCTTTTTTGTCTCTGCATCAAAACTCGGAGAGTCGAGCTGTCCCAGACGCCCGAAGCGCAACTTGAACCTCAATGCAGCCTCTCCTGAACTCTTCACTTTGTTTGTGCAGTCCTAGCGGCTAGCGCCCTGCAGCTCACCTCTCAGCTTCGACTGCAAAGCCTTCCAAACACGTGGGTTCTATGGCTTTTGAGTCCGGTAGATGCAGGTGGGTTGAAGGATGGGGCATACAAGCAAAAGACGCGCTTACATGCACTTGGATGTGCATGGGCATGGCGAGGGTAAACAAAGAGCAACGCCTTAAACTAAGCCCCCAGGCTTTGTCTTCTCGCTCCCAAGGCTCCTGGCAGTGGAGGACCGGATCCGTCGCCTGCGCCATCTCCGGCGAATCGCCATGGCACGCAGGCCGGACGAGACCCCCCCCCGCCACCGCTGCGAACCCTAAAGACGAAGCCACAACCCTCGTATCCCTTTCCCATTCGGTTGGCAGCTGCTCCCAGGGCTGCACGTATGAGCGCCCAGAAGCTGGAGCTGCTGCGAGCGCCGGCACCCTCCTGAGCTGGAGGAGTACTCCGAGTACTGCTCAAATCTTGGAATTTAGATGCTCTCGCTGCGCTGCTTCTTGAAACAGTCCGATAGGATCTGTCTTCATCTGTGTGAGAGCTTTGGCATTGGGCCTTCGTTTTTGGGACAGCGGTCCCAAGATCTGTTTTTGGGTTTTTGAGATTTGCGGCTTTGTGTGGGCATCCCGAGACTGATCATGTTTTCAGCATTCTGAGTCGTGGCTTGTTGTGCTGACCGGAGAATGCTGCATATTCCGTGCGAGGTCTAGAAAGGCACGAGCGGAAAGCAAGTCTTGTCTTCGCCTGACCGGAACGTGCAAGGGCCTTCAGCAGATGCTGCCTCACACCAGCGCAAACAATGGCCAGTATACTGAGCTTGTGCAATCAGCTGAAGGGTTCAAGCGTCGATGCAAGACCAACGGAGTCCAGAATCACAGTGCCGGGTAAGACGAGCCACAGCATTCAAAAAACGTCGGTCATGGCGGGAACCAGTCGCAACAAGAAGAATGGTGGCAACGAGTATAGCATTTGTACCCCTACTGCTGGTACTTGTTTCGAACCCTTGACTCCATGTTTCATCACTCGTCATCGTCAGTGTCGTCACCATTCCCGATGATGATAATGATTATCATCGTCATCATCATCATGTTGGTAGTTATCGCCATCCTCAGCAATGCTGGTGCTACTTTGGCTGAGACGTCAGCCCTGCCTGCCTCCACATTGAAGCCCATTTCTGGAGCAAGCGTCCTAGCCCGAGCCAATCAAAACATCAGGTGAAGCATGCGGCCCTTCGTTCTGCACAGTACGCTGCCACGGGCCTTCTGGCCCTGCGCTGCGCGGATGAGGTGCCCCGTGTCACTGCTGGTAGACTTCTACGGGGACTGCAACAACGACGATTGCATCCATTGCCTTGAGTATGGGTGTTGGCGTGCTTCTGAGTGGTAGCCGTGGCTCTTGGAGAGACTCATTTTTTGCTATTTCTTGCTTAGTTGACGTCTGGCTCCATCAGCATCAGCTGGACTCCTAGCAGGGCAGGTCTTGCGAGTTGAGGATCCCCTGAGCCGAGTAGGGCCCCAAGCCCCCGGAACTCTCGATGACACGGCGGCGCCCGATCTCAGGTGGTGTCACGAATCAACTGTGAGGCAGGTCTTTGGCTTGGCTTTCCTCGTAAATTATTTCCGGGCCACTTGGCGTGTAACTCTTCAGTACTCAGATCTTGAGGTACGATCGCTGGCTCGTTGCCCTCAAGAGCTCCGCATGCGTAAAGCTAGAGCCCAAAACTGGAAGCTTACGAAGCATCGGAACGTGGAGCTTGGGGGAGGGTTCTTCAGAGCACGCCGATTTGGAGCATGGGATGCTGGACTTCGAGGCAAGTCGACTACGAAACTCCGACCCCAAGACTGAATTCTCTTGAGTCCCCCAAGCTACGCCCGAAGAAGGTGGAGGATCCACTCACAGCGCAGAGACATGTCGCCGCGCTCCAGAAGAAAGTGGACGCCTGGCTCGAGAGACCGAACCCAAGTTTGAAGAAGCCGAAGGTCGCTTGAAAAGACGGCCCACATGGCCGTGATGGCCTCTATAGTACTCTATAGACTGTAGAGTGACTCCAGAGCATCCGAGTATCTGAAGCAGCTGAGGACTGGGTGGTCAGGCACCATGGCAGCAAGCAGTGAAACCACTTGTGATCAGCCTTCAGCTCTCCGGGCTCTTGGGGTGTATGCCGGGAAGGTGTTCAAGACCGCGCCGATGCTGTTCTGTGGTCCCTGATGTGTCCCCGCCAACTCCCCCAGGATGCGCGAAAGTGCTTCGCCTCTGTTTAGCTACCTCCAGCCCTTCTTCGACTACCAGATGCAGGCGCAGGGCAAGAAATCGCGGATTTGGGGATTTCAGTTGGTAGGTCGTTGGTGGCAGGCTGGAAGGAACTCGTTCTGTTTCTCCTCCTCAGTCATTTCAATTCACAATCATGATGATGATGATGATGACGATGATGATCGGTGCCACCGTGACCTCCATAGGCCATGGCCAGCACCTGAACACAATGCACCAGGAATGCGGCTCCCCCGCTGTAGCTGAACCTGTACAGGCGACCCAGTCAAGCCTCAGGAAGCCCAACAATTGAATTTTTTGGCTTTTGCAGGTCTGGGCCATTCGAGGCCTGCAGCGCCACATCTTCTCCTCGAAGGCCTGGCCCGAGCAAACCTGAGTCCATCTGCGACCGTAGCATTGACCATGGTCACGGCCAATCAAGGATGTTCCTAGTCTGCGGCATCTGCCGGCCGAAACCAGAAGATCTCGTGCCGTCGGATCAGGATGCTTTCCGTGGCCTCTGTCTGGAGGTTTTTCTGGAACGGCTGTCGGCAGACCAGAAAAGACTCACCGCTTGAGCGCTTTGTGGGATTCTTGTGTCTCTCTGCCACGAGGTGAAAGATGCAGAGAGTAACATGCGGACGCCAGATGTGGCACTGGAGGACTTCCAAAGCTCAAGCTCAAGATGAGAGTGTTGAGTCTCACCACTGCCTTGAACTCAACTGGCACTTCGCCTTCCGCGAGGATGTCGCTGGCATTGGAACGGCCAAGGCAGAAGCTTTGGAGATCGTCGAGTGCCTCATGGCGCCTGCGAGGCCTCGGAAAGGGGAACGGGCGCTTTGGGCTGGAATTGGGGTCGTGCAAGTTCGAAGCTTCAGGTTTGACTCTGATTCGGGGCTGTCGGTTGATGACAATGGCATATGGGGCAGGCGCGCAGTGTTTGTGACTAGGAGAAATCCCAAACCTCATGGTTGAAGGCTCGGTCGCGTATGGCCGAGCCTAGTGGGCTGCCAAGGGTAAGGCAATTCGCTCGCCCGGCTTAGGCGCCCGCTCTCGCACGGCTTATTCAGTCGGTGAGAGGGGGGACGCGCAATGGAAATAGGCATAGGTCCCCGGATGTGGGCAAGCTGGGCAGATCGGAGATTTGGGAGTTCTTTCCCAGCGCACTTTTCTTCGCACATCCCGGGTTGGCGAGGCGGAAAAAGCTGTCAGCGCAACTCTTCCGCAAAGGGCTGGGTCCGTGTCCTGAAGCTCCCTGATCCCTCGACCCAGGACCCTGGCGCTCCCGAGAAGTCCAAACCCCATGGCCAATACATATACAGATACACACACACATATATATATATATGTAGATCATTACTATTGTTATTATTATTATTGTTGTTATGATCATTATTGTTGTTATCATTATCATTATCATCATTATTTTTTTGGTATCCATTATGAGTATTGTTATGGTTATTATATTATTCTTCTAATCATTAGTATTATACCTCTATACATCTATGAAGGCCAATGGCCTCACCAATGAAAATCGGAGGTTCGCGAGCTTGGGCGCCAAGTGCCCGAAGGGCCTCCTTTTGACCGGCCCGCCCGGTTGCGGGAAGACGCCCGGGGCCCGGCGACTTGCGGGAGAGAGTTCGAGGGCCGCTTCGAGGGTTTCCTTGAGTTTAGGGTTTAGGGTTTAGGGCCTGTCTTTGCAGACTTCTTCACATCAATAAGGGCACGGATGCAGCGGATCCTCGCTACAGCTGTTGAACCGCAATCTGTGTACAGCCTCGCCGCTGCCGGTCACCAGGCTACTGGCCAAAGCCATAGCTTCCACTGCGGCCGTGCCATTTTTGTCTCGCTCAGGCGCTGAAGCTTGCAAGGGAAAGGGTCAGCATTGCCAGGTAAGTTGAGAAGCAGATAAATTGGAAAGGGCAAGCCGTCTCCAGCATGGAGATGCTCCTCTCCTCCGCATCTTGCCCTGCTTGAAACGACCATCCTCTACCCAATCGCTTCACATTGTATACAACCCCGCCAGCCCAGCCAAACTCACCAAAGACACGAAACGCCCTTAGAACAGTCTGCTGCCTGGAGGCGCCGACTTCAACGGCCGCTTTGCAGGTACCGGGACGAACCTGGTGAAGGAGTGGCCTGGGCGGCTGGGCGGGGCGGGTTCGAGTGAAGAGAGTAGGACCTTCCTACTGTATGAGTTGCAAAAGGCATGCTCCTCACAGGAGGGTCATTGGCTTAGCGAGCGCGACGTGTTGCCAAGACAGGACGAAATCTGGCACCGAGTTTTGCCAGCAGCCGCGCACGGAAAAGTGGGATAGTGTTGGTATGTCAGGAGTGTTATACTGCTGACGATCGGGTCCTGCGACCGTTGTCATCATCCTCATCATTGACATAGTTGTCAGCTCTCAGCATTACCTTGATCACTTGGCTTCGGGGATGAGAGCCTTCCTCCTTCTGGACAGGAGCTGTTTGCAATGGCCCGCCGCATGTCTCCTGCAGTGATCCTCATCGACGAGCCGGGCCTCCTAGGGATTCTCCGAGCCTTCAGAACGGGTGCTGTCTCGGCTTTTGCCACACAGGTTGACGCAACTGGGAGTTAGGATCACCGGCTGTGGCACCACCTTGAACTTCTGTTTGCGAAGTCTCTTTGTTCGCTAGTCTTGACCCCAATCTCAAAGGAGCGAAGGGCCCCAGCGAACAGACGGAAGATGCCCTGCCATCCTGGTGAGAGCCGGGAAGCTTCAGGCTGGACTACATCGGCCGCCGCCGGGGCGAGGAGCCGCTGCGTGGGTTTTTGGGGTGAGCGCTTTGGGGTTGCAGCCCTTTTTACGGGCTGGGACTTCCGCTGCCGAGAAGAGATTCCAGTAAAGGCAGCCTTAGCTTGACTGCATTTCGTGTTCCGTGCTGCACCGTAGCATAGCAGGCTAGATTGGATATGTAAATGCAACCTGTGGCACGATGGAGCATAGATTCAGATGACAGATCTGACATCTCTCCTGTTTCGTGTGACTGTCGTGTACCAGCTCGTGCCGTCAGAGCATTCACTACAATCACACCAGCATGTTGTCTTAAGTCTGAAACTCCATTGTGCTCGCAAAGTCAAAGTGGGGTTTCCCTAACTGCGCATCAGCCGATCAACCGATATCGGCTGGTCGGCTGATATCGGCTGGTCGGGTTTAGAGTGTAGGGGTTTAGCGTTTGAGGGTTTAAGGGTTTAAGGTTTAGGGTTTAGGGATTTAGGGTTTAGGGGTTCAAGGTTTAGGATTTAGAGTTGATTGGCTGATGGGCTGATCGGCTGGTCTAGGGTTTAGGGTTTAGGGGTTCAGGGTTTAGGGGGTTTAGGGTTTAGGGTTTAGTATTGGCTGATCGTTTGGATCACGGCTCTAACTTTTCAACTCCATCAGTCACCGTAAGTGGAAGTTCTCCGAGGAGCGAGGGGGAGGCCTGGAAACCGATCGATCAGCAGTCGGGGCCTTGGCGACATGCTTTGCGGAGGCGCAGAGTCGGGGTATAGAGGTCGGGTGATGTTGAAGCTGTTTGTTCGCGGCTTGCTCTTTTCTGGGCATTGTGCTCTTTTGCTCCGCGAAGCTTTTTTTGTCAGAGGCCTCATTATCGTCATGAAAGGTGAACCACACCAGGCACTCGGCCCTAGAAGATTCTCGAATGCAAGGCTTTGACCCAGCTGCTGGCGGAGATGGATGGGCGGGGGCCTTGAGTTTTCCCGGTTCGGAGCTAGGCGGATCGGGGCCCAGAAAGCGGGTCGGCTTGCACCTGCTGTTTCCGCCTGCTATCACCCGCTGTTTCCCTTCGAATCAAGCAGCCAAGATTGGAAGACGTCTCGCTGAGGTTTGCCTCGGCCGAGGGTGTCGTCGTCATCGGGACCACGAACAGACCGGACATTCTTGACAAGGCAATGACGGTGAGGTTATGCTTACAGAGTTTGCGTTTCAGAGCCCCAGAGTTAAATGCGGGGTTTGGATTCATGGCCTCACTGCGAGTGCGAGAACCAAATCGCGAGAGATTCATGATGCAGAGTTGGGAGATGTAAGCTCTGGGGGCAAAAACAGCCAATGGATAATGCCTGTGACATGGCAGTTTAGGAGCCTCTTTGTTGCTTCCCGCCGTGGAATCGTAAGATGTTGTAAGGAGTGTAAGGAGTCATATTCGCTTCAAGCCTCAGCGTCACACGCCGAGCCCAGCTCCTTCCCTGCCCTGCCTGAGAGGCCCTGACCAGACCCGGAAGGCTGGTTACGGGAGTTTTTCCAGTGCTTTCGGATTCGCTGCCATCTTTTTCACATATTATCTGGAAGGAGGTACATCGTTTCTGAGAAGTTCGCCTCTTGCAGACCCTGGGCCTTTGCCGTAGACTGAAGGGTATGCAAGTCGAGTCAGAGCCAGGTTCGACCGGAAGGTCACTGTGCCACTGCCTGACGTCAAGGGCCGCTTCCAGATCCTGAGGCCGCTGTCGGCAGTCCCCACTTTCCCCGCTTGGAAGTGTGCCCAAAAGCCCGGACAAAGAGAGTACGCTTTTTGTAGGTGAAGGCCGATAGCACGTTTTGGAAACCACCGGCCTCTGGCTTCTCTCAGGATGCACGCCAAGCGCCTGGTGCTCGAGAGAGGATCCCAGCGACTCAGCCAGGAGCTCAGAGACACCCGAGCCGTTGGTCAGTGGGTCAAGGAAGGCATCGTTGCTCTGTGGATCCTCGTAGCTCGAACAGCATGCTGCGCAGTGCGGGGGTCAGCTGTGCCGGGTATCGACCGAACTTGGGGCGAAGAAGTTTCGCTTTCCAAAGTACTGCACTAGCAGTTCAGTTCACCAGTTGGAGCTGGAAGAAATGAAGGCCCGAACGCCCAAAGTCCCAATCCCTGGCCGGCCCAGCTGGAGTGGATGTTTCCTCTGCCTCGCCAGCCGGTGGCCCAAGCTCTGTTTGGCTCCGGCCATCCTTTCACTTGTTTCGGGTGTTTAAGGCCTAGCGGCTGGTCTTCGTGGTGTGGTACGGTAGGGTGCGGCGCGCCCGTGGTTACTGCACCTACAATATAGGTGTTTTGTTACGAACCTCGAGATCCTTGAATCCCTGCGTCGCCGTAGACACCTCTCTCCATATCCTTCCATTCCTTTTGCGCAAACCTTGGCTTTGAACGTGGAAGTTGTGACACCGGGTCCGCGGGCCAAGTCGGGCGCCACCTGACGGGCTCGGCCCTGAGGTTTTTCTGTAGGGAAGAGCCTCAGGAAGCAACAAAGCAAGACGCATCGTGGGGGTTTCCGCAAAAAGAAAAAGTAACACATAAAAACACCAATCGATGCAGTCCACGGCAACCGCCAAAAGCAACAACCGCAAGACTCCAAGCCATCGCTGATAACAGGAGAAGACTCACGCAGCCATGGTCTCAAGCCCAGAGGGCCTCCCCCCCCCTCCGCCCTCCGGTTTATTTCAGGATTGGATGGCCTGGGCGAAACGGACGACCGGCTTCTCCGGCGCCGACTTGGCCGGTCTGGTCAACGAGGCCCCTTTGTGCGGTCCCTGCATTCGGGCGTGGGAAAAGCGCCTCCCGGTGTCCGTTCCCGGAACCCTCCGCCGAACTCCGAAGCTGCGACTTCCAGCCGAGCGCGACCTGCGATTGAGGCGGCCATGGCCGCAGCTCGTGAAGGCTCACGGCCTGGGCTTGAGGGGAAGAGTCTCGCTGACTTCGATAGGAGAAAGGATTGCAGATGCCAGGATGAGTTGACGGTGGAGGCGAGGGCAGCTGTTCACTCGCAAGTGCCAAGTGCTACCATCAGCCGCCAGTGAAAGCAACAAAAGTAGAACGAAGGCAATGAAAAGTGATACTGACTGTACTGAATGTACTCAATAGTACAGTTCCCCTATGACTGGAAAGCACTACGTTTCGGCGCTTTTCAGCTAAACGAGCCTCGCAGCAGGTGCAGCCGGCGTCGCGGAGAGGCACCTCCAGGCATGCTCAAGCCCCCTGGGTCGTGTGTCCTTAAACCCTAAACCCTCAACCCTAAAGCCGTTCTCCAAATCCCAATCGTCGAAGCCCAAGCTGAGTCAATGCTTCGTTCGAGCTCGGGCGCTTCGAGTCGAAGAGAAGTCAAAGGGCATCGCAAAGATGAGACGCCGTTAGCCTTGGAAAAAAAAGGCTGAAAAGATTGAGAAACCGGGCTCTGCATGGTCTCCTTCTTCCCTCGACGCTGTGGATTTGACGCGTCCTGTCGAGGACCGGAAATCCCAACTAATTACCTTACCTAATGGACCAGGAGCGCCAAAATTCGTCGAGGTTTGTCTGGGAGCCTTGGCCCGGGTTGGCTCAGGTGGCCTACAGCAAGTTGCTCATTGGCCTCCCTTCCGGGCCGCGGCCCCAGCCTGCTTGTGGCCGCTTTCGGCACCCGGGGTCGGGACGCCAATGCCGGCCAGATGCCAAGCATCTTTTTGGATCATGTTTCAGCGTTTGGCACCTAACCCCAACATGCCGATGCCGCCAATGGCTTCCGACGCCGAAACGCAGACCTTACGTGCTATAGACGGCTGGACACGTGAGGGACCCCCGGTCCAAGCATCGGAGATGAACTCTAGGCGCCATCAGTCTGCGGCAGAGATGAACCTGACGGCCTTTCACGAGGCCCCTCGCTATCGTTCTTGTGCGGCAGCCAGTCTCATGACGCTTCTTTCGTCAGTCACCGTTAACATTGCTACACCGGGTCAAGACTCTGCGCACACAGGCGGGTCATGCCGTGGTGAATGAGGCCTGCGATGCAGCTGTCCTTGCGTTAAACCGCCCCAACAGCTTGATTATGCACTGGCAAGCAAAAGGCACTCGGTGTTCGTCTTGCTGTTTACTTGCTACTAGTATGAGGGATTCATGGAGGCTGGTTCCACAGGTTCGCAGCTCTGTGTTTCCTCAGCCCGATGCTACCCTCAAGCTCTGACTGCATCTCTTTCCGCGCTTGTCAGGTGATGCGGGTCTCCCTGGGAGAGCAAGGCCCGGCGAGATTTCGGGGCTCAGGGAAAGCCGTGGTGTTTCAGGGAAGGTCCCATCTTCGTTTCAGTCAGGATTTGCATCCAGTTGTAGACTGGTCGACGACCACGGCGAGCAGGACCACCATGGCCAAACGCGACCATCCATTGGTCTTTAGGGTTTGGGGTTAGGGCTTAAGGTCGTTGCGGCTTTGGGATTTGGGGTCTCAAGTGTGGATGTTGGTCGTGTGACCTCGCTCCGCTTTGGACACGGCGGTTGGGAAACGATGTTCTCCTGAAGCCGCAAACTGCAACCTAAACACATGAAACTCCTCAACCAGAACAACATTCTCTTATGGCAAAGCGACGGCAGTAACCCTAGAAATAGTTCTTCATTTCGCTCTCGTGCAAGCTCGCATAAGCACTAAGACCATTCCACGCGAAAAGCCATGAAGAGTCCCGTGAGTCGTAGAGTTGCACTGTCGGGCCCACTCATCGCAAATCGTTGAGAAATTGAGCCTTGGAGGGTTGCAGTTGATGATGTTTTACATTGTCGCGGCATGTGGTGCAAGTGCAAGGTGTCACTGGCTTCCGGACCGTGGCCCACGTGAGTATCGTTCCTGCAGGTGCAACCGCGCTGCAGCAAAGTCGCAAAAGCCAGGGGCATTATCACAGCACCAGTCACACAAGTATCTCTGCTGACGTGTCTAGGGTTTGGGAGTTTGGGATGTACTCCCCAATGTGAACCCTAGACTCTTCACAGGTTTCTGAATCTTGAGGTCTCTGAATACATAAAGGGTCGCTACTTTCCGAACTACCTCATGATAGACTGGAAAGAACCCGCTTTAAAGTATCTGAACTCCACGCCCCCTGAAATCTAGCTGACCGATGCAACGGCTAAGAGAAAGCTGGGATCTGTCTCGCATTCTTTGAGAGCTCTCTGAAAGCCTTGAAACTAACATGGGAAGGATCGAGTCCTAAACTGCGTCGAACATACCCCGTCTTGAGGTTCCGCGTTCGTTTCGCCAAGTGTGTCAATCGCCCCTTTCGATTCTCATAGATTTTTCACCGCCCCGGCATTTCAGGGCAGACCGGCGGCGTGACGCAGTTCGCCGATCCCGAAGAGGCCAGCTCTGTTCTTGCCAGCTTTCGAATCCCGAAGTTTACGGCGCAGGGTGTAGTGGCCTAAGGATAATGATTTAGAATTGGGGGATCAGGGATCAGAGGGAGTCGGGGTAGTGATTTGTTTTTCGGGGTTGGAAGCTTTCGTTGCAGGGTTTCTCGAGGCGGGCTGAGCTCCGGCAGCTACGGTCAGGACGTGCAAGGTTCAGAGTCGATTTGCCTGAGTTGATGTAGCCTAGCGGCCTGAATAACTACAAATACTAGTGTGAATTGTTTCCTCACATAACTATAGTATCATGTGCCCCAAGGCCCTATTCCCAATCATGAAGGCGCTGATACTAAGCAATCTTTACAGAGGATGGCGAGTCGAGGCACAAGAGAGTTGAAGGTTGAGGGCTGAGCATCGCTTAGCTTCCAGTTCCACCGTTCATGGTGTGGCGAAATATAGCTTGTGCTTAACTCAAGCCTTTTCGTTTCTGACAAAGGTCTTGTCGCATGTTATATCCGCGCTTCAAAAAGCCTCCAAGCCTGTACAGATGTTTTTCCTTCTGTGTGACCGTAGTGTTGTGCTCAGAAGCCCTCTGTGCCGAAGCCTTGTGCTGAGACCAGCCGTCTTCCCCACTCCCGGCGGATTCTCCTGGCTATGCTGGCGGTCGACATGGGTGGGCGTGCAGCGGAGGAGACGGAGCTTTTGAGCCGTCTCTTCGATGTTGGCAAAAGACGGCTTCGGTTTCTGAAAAGCTGCAAGGTTCAGAGGGGCGGGGGGGACTCTTACTTGTGTTCTGGATCCTTAGGAGAATTGCGTCAGCTCAAGCTACAAAGTAGGTTTGGTCTAGCCGCCTAGCCCCGTTCGACGATTGCAGGAGCTGGTGCTTGGCAAGGGCCAGGCGTGCCCGAGACTCTTCGTTTTTGCCAAGCCCTTTGCTCAGGGTTCTTTGGGGGTTCTGGTGGGGCGCTGCAAAGATCTTGAAAGGCTATAGCCAGCGGTTTCCCGAGCGCTTCATACTGTCTAAGCCGTGACGACTATGTTCTTGAATGAAAGTTGTGTCCACAGTCTCAGAGTTTGGAACCTCAAGCGCCAGGCGACGATGGGTGCGGAAGCTGACATCGACGATGTCTGAAGCTCGGTGGGGCCGGGCCCCACTTCGAACAGCAGCGAGCAGTTGTGAGACTCAGCTACTATCACTTGTGACCAACACATTGTGCTGCATCATTCCATATGATTTATACGATGTTTCGTTCGTCCCCAGCCCGGCTCTGTCTTCCAGTCTCTTGCTTTGATCTGTTTTCAACTCCCGTTCTCGTGGCTGGTTGAAAGATCGTGTACTGCCAGGGTATCGGATCCCAGGAGACTGCTTCAGGCGGCTGCAAGACCATGGTCTCCTGCTTTTGCTCACCTCTGGAGTGCTAGAAGATCATGTTATCATTTCTGCTAGGTAGCCTGGGCCACGTAGACGCTGCGTTTCGGACTCCCCCGGCAAAGAGCAAAGGAGGAGCCCTCCAGCGAGCCCTAGGCCACTCGCTTGGCGACGGAGATGGTGGCGTCCGGTGGACTTTCCAAGGCCAGTGTTTGCGCTTTGAGGGGCCTCTCTGGCCTTCGGCCGGTCAGGTCCGAGATTCGTTTGTAGGACGCCCCAAAATGTACATACACCGCATAAATTGTTTTAAAAATTAACATAGACGTAGGCAGGTGTGTTGTTATATATTCAGGTGCCCACACACACACACACACACACGCGCGCGCACGTGCCAGCAGACACGACATGTATCAGATAAGGCTTATCAAAGCATGATCGGCAAGACGACAGACCTTTACACAGTGCATCCAGAAGCCTCCGCTGCATCCTCCTGCCCGCGCTTTGGGCCAGGCCGTGGGGCCGAGATCACTTCGTTCAGGAACTCAGCCGTCCCAGGCCTCACTAAACTTCACAGAGTTGAGGGCTTCAGGACTTGGAGCTTTGGCGAAATCTCGAGGGGACTGCAAAGACTCGGGAACATGCTTGGTCTATAGGGTCTAAAGGGTGACGGTTGCAATGGCTGGGTCGACAGAAGGACGCCGCAAGCTGACGTTGGAGTCGGAGTTCCATGCAGAAAATCAAAGGCAAGCCCATGCCCCTGAACCTAACCTACCCTGAACTACTTGCAGCCTGCACCCCAACCTGCAATGTGTTTGTAGAGACTTCGCGTGGAGGCTCTCCTGTCTGAAGTGGATGCAGAGGCCGGGACAGGTTGTGCGGGGGTGTCGGGGTGGCCGCAGGTTGAAGGTTTCGGGTTAGATTGCCCAGCATGTCCCTGGTGTGTGTTGCTGATCTCTTCGTGCTTGCTGTTATCGCACAGGCTGCCTCTGCTCAGCCCCTCGCCCAGCTATGGAACCCCCTGGAAGCTTTCGGTGCCGCAGGTCAAGGAGCTCCTTGACAAGGCAGGACCCCTGGAGCCGCCAGGGCTCTGCATTTTTGGGTTCGCCTTCGGGGCCCAGGGCTTCTGGGACAGGGTCCAAAGCCCAGGGCGGACCACGGGGAATTAGAATTCGACATAGTCCAACCCAGTACGATAGAGTATAGTATAGTGTAGCATGGTACAGTGTAGTACAGTACAGAAAAGAAGAGCATGATATGATAAAAGATAGTATCATATGATACAAGAAAAGACAATATGATAGTTTCAATACGACACAATACAACAGAGTACAACACAATACAAGATATTACATCAAAGCACAGCAGAAGATTATATAGCATAATATGATACAGCGTCATATAGAATAACTAGTATAGCCGACCGACACGGATAGAAGATAATATAAGCTTTCCCAAAGCTGAGACCGCGAGCCTCGAGGCCTTGCTGCTGGCGGGTACAGCCATTGCACGGAACCGCGAGCTTCATGCGGCCATCGCTGAGGTCCAGACTTCTAAGGGGCCTTCACATTCTGACTCGCCTAGAGTGGGAGTCATCGTCAACCCGCCGTCGGCTCTGCGCAGGTGCTGATACAGCACGAGACGCTGGACGGAGAGGTGCCTCCACGGCATCCCACTGGACCTTTCTCCTCTTTGGTTTTAAGCCCAATATGCCAGTGCATCAGCCTCGACATGTATGATGAGGGTGTGGCATGCAGATTTTCCACGTCGGCCCCAGGAATTCCAGCGAGTGGTGCGCGAGCACCCGCCCACACCGATCAAGCTGTGATCGTGAGACGAGACAAGCTGGATCGTGAGACGAGAAAAGAGGCTCGACGTCCTACAGATTTGATTTTCTCAAACTGTACGGTGAATGTTTGGATCCCTCATGTTCCGAAGCTCCTGGTTCTCAAGCCAGGCACCCTGGTTCATGGCCCTCTCTGTGTTCCAGCCCTGCAACTTGCAGCCCAAACGCCCAAACTCAAGCTCTCGGGGATGCAGACTTACGGCATCCCTGACGCCAAGGATATCAAAGCACACAGTAGCAACACTTAAGTAGGGGTAGAAACTGCCAGAGCAGGTTTCCATTCCACTCCAACTTAAAAGAACACAGCTCAAGCCTCGATCTGGATCTTCAGCTTCCGGGAGGTATCTTGAAAGGGAACAGTTCGGGACAAAAAAAAATTAGATGTTTCGAAGCTGACATGCTAGACTGCGACGATTCCGGGCTTCTGAAACATGATCTTCTCGTGGGCACTATCGCCGAAGGTGCAGGCTGCACAGCTTCGCGACATGCTTGTCGTTTGTTTACTGTTGCAATGGGGATTGGCCCTGGCACACGAATCCGTGGATGCTGGGTGTGGAGCCGAAACATGTGGGAACCAAAAAGCCAGCCCCACTTTCTCAAGTGCCGTACACCCAGACGGGGACAAGGTCGCCGAGGTCCAAGATTGGCTGTGCGGCTTTGGAGGGGACGGTGCGGCGCTTCGTCCTGAGCACGATGCTTTTTGAGTAGAGGGTTGAAAAGGCTGTAGACGTAGAGATGCGTCTGTGGAGGTGGCCTGGCGGGGTGTTGAAAGCTGAGGTGTCTTTGGAATCAGTGCGTTGGCTTGACGTGCAGCAGGCATTGGAGCACAGCTGCGGCTTCGTGAACAACTCCAAGCCTGTTCGCTTTGCACTCGTGAGGACGCACAAGACAGGCAGCACCACCTTCGCCACAACTTTGATGCGCTCTGGAATGTCGCTGGGGTTACGCTGGGCCGGCTGCGATGACAACTCACGCTTCGTGCCCCACGAGCGTGCCTGTAAGGCCCGTGAGCACTCAAGCCAGAAGGAGGGTAAGTATGATTTTGAGTCACGGCACACCTATGAATTCGCCACATGGTGGACGTCAGAGCCCTATTTGGGGCAATGCGACGCTGACGGCAGGCATTTTGAGCGCACTCTGATGGGATATGAGGAGCAGATGGGTTCTGACGTGCAGGTTTTTGTGTTGATTCGGGAAGCTCATTCACACTTGCGGTCTACATTGGACTTCTTTCAGGTTCCATTCGCCAAGTTCAATGCATCTGAGAGTCTTTGGAACCCTTTGGCAAAAGACCTTCGTCTCCTGGAGTTGGACCACGTAGAAGACTTCCTTGCCCGTTGGCCCTTCAATCGCAGCAATCGCCTGCACGTCCTCGTGACCGAGGAGTTGTCCGCGTCGATGGTCATGTTTCGCAGAAAGGTGAACTGGTCTTTGCGGGATGTCGTTTTCCTTTCGAGTCGTGTTACCACGAATCACGGCAAAATACCTGATCGCGCTTCCATGCCGCCTGGGCGTTTGGACTGGGATGAGAGGCTGAACGAGGTCTTGCGACCGCTCTTCAAAGCCGAGCTGGGGAGGCAGTCAAAGGACTTCCGGCGTGAGGTGCGAGCGCTGAACCGGATCAACGCAGCGCTGCCCTTGGTCTGCGCCCAAGCAGAAAGCCCCTCCGAGGGCTTACTGGCAAGGGTGTGCGACGCGAAGGTTGACAGCATGCAAGCTGGAAGGCAGCAGGTGTTGCAGTATCGCAAGTGGCATTGTGGATCTGAGTGAGTCCAGATATCTGGTACGCGACTGAGGCGAACCCCATTGCACCCTGAAATCCCCGTGCCTCCTGGTAAGGCTTGTGAAGAGGGAAGCAAGTCTCATCTCTTTTGATCGCTTGTGCGTTTTGTTCTTTCTGTAGGGGGTGGGTGAGGCGCAAAGTTCATGTCGTGAAGGCCAGCAACGCTGAACCGCAATTGAAAAGGGCAGTTTGTCAAGACCCAGAGATATGTCTTGGAATTGGAAGAAATTCCAGCATGAAGCACTACGCGAAACCTTGAGCACGAAGCCGAAGATATGTTAGTTGGCCACGCTCCTGACTACAACCCGAGAGTGCTGCTATTTGTGAGAGCACGTCCTCGCTTCGACAGACCTACCGAACTTCTCATTTTGATGATTGTATTATGATGGTTGTAATGATGTTGTGATGGATGACACGGATGGCGCTGTAGATTCTGATGATGACGATGATGGCGATTGGCGATGATGACGCGAATAGGAACCCTGGTCAGGTTTGAGTCGCACATTCCGGATTTGGGGGGAAACCTAAACCCAACACTTCCCAACTGTGGATGCTGATACTCGTGCCAATGGCGATGATGCTCATTAGCATGATGATACTGTTGTCGCCCTCGTTGTCGCTAGCGGTGTCGCGTTGATCTGAGTGTGATGTTGGTGATAATTGCATTGCGAATGCTGTGTTCGGGTCTCGAGCTCGGACCTTCAGGACTTTAGTGGATTTTGCAGTGGGTGTGATGGGTGCTAACTGCGTTGTAGGCTTGCAGAGTCAAGACTCTGTTTTCAAGAGTTCTCAACTCTCGCCGCGCCTCGCATTGCTCTCAGGTTACATGCAAGCAGACCAGTCAGACCAGTCAGATCAGTACACGGAAAGTCTGTCGCCGTACCGTCCGCATTCCGCACCGGAACTAGTTGAGCTGCCCAGGGTTTTTTGTGGTGCAGACTCGGGCGTGCTTAGTTACTTCCGTGCATAGACGCCGAACATGACTGAGTTCGGCAAACTCGTCATCATCTCAGTGCTGATGGGTGTTTGCTCCGTTTCTATCGATACTGTCTGCTCGTGTCTACTACTACTGCTGCTGCTGCCGCTGCTGCTGCTGCTGCTGCTACTACTACTACTACTACTACTGCTACTTGTGCTACTACAACTACAACTGTGACTACAGTACTACCGCTGCGACACCGGCTATTGCAGCTTCTGCGCCTGCCATTGCTACAGATGCTACTACCGCTGCAACGCTGTTACAGCTGCTGCAACCGCTACTGCTACTGCTACTGCTACTGCTACTGCTACTGCTACTGCTAGTGCTGCTGCTGCTGCTGCTGCTGCTGCTGCTGCTGCTGCTGTTTCTAGTGCTGCAAGGAAGTACCACCTACTACCACCAATACGACTTCTTCACCTTGTTTCGTCGTGCCTACAGCAAGGGTGATGTTCATGTGGCAAAGATTCGCTACGACTCTGAGCATGACAGCGGGTTTGACCAGGCCACTCCTGCTGTTCTTGTTCTGCTGGGTGTTTCTTGGGCTAAGGTTCTTCTCATCGGCGACTACCATACGCCGCAGAGGTTTTGGCCTTTGGTTGCCGGAGGGGTGGCAAGTTGGAGGGCGTGACCTGCAGAAGTCGTGCAGTGACCCGGCTGGCCGAGGAAGTCGGACGTACCCTCTTGCTTCAAGGAGCTGCTAAACACCGACAAGTGGCTTGGCCGGAACATGGGAAGCAGGGACTTCGCGTGAGAAAAGCCGGCTGGGTTTGGCGGAATCTCGCGTCCACATGGAGGGCAGATTTCAGGGTAAAATACTTTTTAGTCTTCGAACCGGCCTGGAAGCCAAGGATCGGTGTGGTGCTGTGCACTGGGAATGCCCGGCTCTCGCCGAGGGAATCGGGTTGGGAAGCTGAGGCTTCGGGCTGGTTTTTTTCGGTCCTTGGCTTCCGACTCCATGCGAGTCCGTACCTCACAAAGCACTGCGGAGACGAGGTTGGAATTTTTTCCCGGAGCGACTTGAAGCTAGATTGCATCTCCAGGTCATTCTGTCTGTAGAAATGTATGTCTTCTCACTCAGTTGTGAGCAGCTTGATGAAGAAGAAGATAATGATGGTGGTGTTTACTTTCCCAGGGAGTCGATATCGTGCTAGGCTCTCGGTCGAGGTGGGTGTCGTGGGTGTTGACAGATGTCGTGCGGTTTGGGCTCGTCGCACTCGGGCCATCGGAACTTCTTGAAGTCTTGGGCGGCCTAGGTTGGTTCCCAGTCCGTCGCCGAACAGCTGCGCATGATTGCCGGCGAGGACCCGCCGGTCTTTCTCCTTCACCGTCCGCAGCGGGGAGTCCACCCCAAACATCGGGAAAGCGGCCTTTCCGCCTTCTGATGTTCTCATCTATGCCACAGGACTGCCACATCGTGTGCGGCGATGCAGACCACGACTTCAACTTCCCGGAGACCTGCGCCGCTCGGCGGGCTAAGAGGACCACCACTATGCCTCAAAGGGGAAGCCTTCGCTCACGACCTCCGGACAGACACTACAGGAAGGAGCCTTGAAAAGCAGGGTCTCCTTCGCAGCAGCATTTCAACTAGCTCAAGCTGCTTCAAAGAAAAAAGACACACGGAAGCGAGAAAGGAAGACTATTGGCAGGTGACCTCCGTTGGTGAGTTCAAGGTGGGCGTTGTTCATGGGCATCAAGTGGTGCCCTGGGGTGCGGGCCCCAGGGCAAGGGCTTGGCAGCGCCTGTTGTGAGGGTCCCTCACGGTGGCCCTGAGCTCATAACATCAAGGGTCGGGGCTGAGGTGACAACAACTCTTTGGTGAAGTTCGCCGGCCGGCTGGGTGTTGACATCCTCGTCACCGGACACACGCACAGGACTGGCATCAGAGATGGGAGTCTTCCTTTGGGAGTTGCCCTTGGGTTCTTGTGTTATCGGGTAAGCTCTTCGGCCTCAAACTTCCATCGCTCCCGAAACGACAAAGCGCTTCTGTTCCGTGGATGCTCGGGGTGGCATTTGCCGCTGCGATCATTTCCGGAAGGAGCAGCATCACGGAGCTCGGTGGCAAGTTCATCATCAACCCGGGCTCGGTGACGGGAGCCTGTTTGAAGCCCAGTGGACCACATGGTTCCGAGCTCTTTGGGAGCTTTGTCGAAGGGGCAAGGAGCCTTCGGAAGGTTTGAGGTTCGTGGCTCCGTTTTTCGGGCCCAGCTTCGCTTCTGCATGACCCCTAGAAAGCACCGTCGGAGCCCACCGGCAGAGTGATCTCGTTCTGAAGGGCATTTTTCTACCCGGTGCCATGCAGGAATCCAAAGCCACAAGCAAAGCCTTCAGCCAGCATTCCTAGAACCAGAAGCCCCTCTCCCTTTTTGGTCTTAGGCAATGGCTTGGCGGAGTTCGATGTGACGTGAAGCCCTCGGAAAAGTTTGTAGGTCTCAGGGCCTGGCAGGGGAGTTGCAGGGATGTCACAAGATCAGATCCCGAGCCCGGACAGCCCCAAGCTCATCCTGAAGCCAAGCGACATTGCACACTGTCGCGGCCGCGACTCCCAAAAAACAACATGGCTTCGGCCCGAAACTAGGATGTGTGCGGAACCGCCGTCAAGCCTGAGATTCTGAGCCACTTTACCCAGGCCCTCCTTCATGCTTATGGCCGTCCAGGAGAAGTCTGTCCAGCTCTCAGCTCACAGATCGCAGGGAAAACCCTGCGGTTTGGGAGGTCGGATCAGGATTTAGCGTGGATGGTCTTTGGGGAGCTGTCCACCCTGTTAGAGGTGCATACGCCCACAGCTGGATTGAAATGCCTGGATTTTGAAGTGCTTTGGATCACGCATACCCCACTCCCCCTCACACTGAAGCATTGCCGGCTTAAGCCCAGGCGTGGGTCCCCAAACCCGCTCAAGACCAATGCCTTCGTCCCTACGTGGCATATCCCAGCCCTGCAACAAACCACTGAAGTCCAAGCGCCTTTAAGCCTTTGCCTAGTCCTGTAGAGGTCGTCCTCTACACCTACGAGCTCAAGGAAGGTCAGACTGAGCCCGAAGTGAAGATGAACGAATTGAAGCGGTAAGGAGCCACTGCCTTTCCTTTCCCCACAGCCCAAGCACAAGACGAAGTTCAGAAGATCACAGGGGGCAGTCTACGTCCAAATTGGTGGCGGAATTACCAAACTCAACTCGAGCAAAGACAGGCTCAATGTTCTGACAGCATCCAGAACAGAGACCGTAATGCTCACAGAGCCTTTTGCCCCATGCCGAAAGTCTCTGAGACACCCCCTCCCCAGCCCCTCCCGAGCCTAGCGAGTTAGCCCTAAACAAACCCCGCACTCTTGCAGTCCAGTATGACGAATCCTAAATCCTCGTTGTACCGAAGCACATGACCGACTGGACGACAAGAGCTTAGACGAGGTGCCACATCTAGAAAAGCCCCCCGTGCCCACTCACAAGCCTAAGCTCGAAGCCCTCCTTGAACCGCATCCGGTACCGCGCGTGCCGCATCGATTCCGGTCAGTCTGGAAACCGGGGGCCGCGGAGCTCCAATCGCAACGGAGAACAAAAGCTGGTGCGTTGTGGCGTTGCCTCTTGACGGTGCTCGAGCCCTGAACCCCAAAACCCCGAATCCCGCAAGGCTTGAGGTTCAGGCCCATTTGGTGCAAGGCGATGCTTGGTGTTCGGAGTTTTTCCGGTCTGGTGGAGCAAAGGGAAAGATGGGCACCGCAAGACCCAGTGACCTTCCTTCGCAGCCCGTGTTTTCTTTTGCATCATTCGTGAGGACCTTAATGACGAGGTACGGAAAATCATGAGATGTGAGAATGTGCTAGCAGTGCTTGAATTTTCTGTAGCCGCTGCAATGCTTGAAAACATGTTAACTGGCTCCACTTCTGTACTGTCATGTACTTGTCTCCGGCGGTCAGCAAACCCAGTGAATCCGACACCACAAAGGCCCAACGGACCCGTTGTCGTCCTGTCTGGAACCCGACTCGATTGGGCCTTCGCGCCGAAGCGAAGCGTGCAGTGGCTCGTGCCGGCGCCAACGGCCTCCGCTTCCGGGCCCCAGGACCAGCACTGGCGAAGTCCTCGGATTTTCGTTGAGCTTGCGGCTCTGTTAAGGCCTGGGCAGTGCGAGTTTGGGGCCAAGAAGCCCAGAGACGCAGCGCTTGCGCAGAGGGGAACAACATCAGTCGGAGCTCCCAGGCCAGGCCATCGCGCGATGGCCGCCGTCTCCTCGTACGAGCAGAGCCAGGTCCTGCGCTGCCCCTTGCCTTCTCAGGGCTTGGGACGTTTGGGAGTTGGGAAAGTTAGGAGGTAGACTTACAGCCAACCTATTTGGGTCTTGGGATGCTGATGGGCAGAGGTTCTCCATCCAAGGGGGTGCACCCTGTTCCGAAACAGAGGGCACCATGATTACAATCCTGTGAATAGTACATCCTCACGGCAGAGTCCCGGTAGAGCAAATCGCAAATAAGTTGGGAAAGCCGGCCTCGTAAACAGAGAACAGCAAGCCGAAGCAAAAAATGTCGAAGCTGCTGCTCCCTGCCAGGCGCTAGCGCTGGTGGAGGCCCAGCCCAGCGTTGAATATCGTGAACTCCGACTTGCCTGCAAGTCGGAGTTGTGTGGCAAAAATGCCAACAGCAAGAGTGGACGGCTTTCCAGTGCCCTGATATCGTGGTTACTGTTGAGCTGCAGAGGCTTTCGCAATGTGCAGTTAGAATATTTTAAATTGTGCTGCAGCAACATCGGCAGTTTTGTCAATCCTAGATACAGATCGCTCAGTTAAGTACGCGGGAAGGACAACTGGTGGTTTTGTTGTTTCAACACGTCTTCTGCATTCCGAGTTTGAGTACGCGGCACCCACGACAACCCCAACCACAGCCCGTCAATGCAGCAGGATCGCACCTACACCGGAGATGAGGTGAAGGCTCGGAGGGCTTTCCATGAGTTTTTGGTTCGTGTTCTTGTGGCTTTGAGTCTGCGATCTTCGAAGACTTTCGGAGCCCCGGGGCTATTTTGCTGCTGTTGCTTTAGCGATTTGCAGAGGCTCGGCGGCTTCGGGCGTACAAGGACGAGCCCCAGCCCTGGCGTTGTGTCGGAAGTCTCGTGCGGGTTGGTATTGGATGGGCCATGTACTGCTGGCTTTACTGCGTTGGCTGCCACAAATGCTGCTGCAAGAAGCATTCTTCTGGCAGCCCCACAGACGACCCCACACCTCAACAAAGCGGCACCACCCCAGGTCTCAAAGCGACAACCCCGGACAGACGAGTCTTCAGTGATCGTTTCGGGGCGGCGCAAAGAGGCAACGACTAACATCAGGTCGGCAACCTGGCCGCCAACAGCGCCGGAGAACCACGTGACGGAGCAGTGGGCTGCTTAGCCTCGGGTCAAGGGCCGACGATGAATTTGGGTCTTGACTTACGAGGTCCCCCAAACCCCGCGGAATGGTTTTGTTGTCAAACACAGGTCGAGCCAATGGGTTTTAGCTTCAGAGCGCTGAGGAGGCGCCAGGCCAGACTCTTGCGTGACCGATTCAACCCAGACTTCTTCCACTTGCGCAGGGGCCCCAGGGTGTTCAGAGTTCAGAGAGAGTACAAGATGCAGGATCAGTGCATTGTTTGAGGTGTAAGATCTCCTTCGCACGAGCTTTCCAGCCGAAGACTCTGGGGTCGCCCCTCCATGAAACTCTGAAGCTCCACGCCCTCTCTGTCAAGAAGAGGGATCTGCAGGAAGCCGAAACCCTTGAACCAGCTGATGGCTCAGGCCCCTCCCTCCCGGGTGGCCCTGAGGCACTGAAGAAGTAGAGAGGTCCTAACAGAGGATCCTCGAGCTTTGAGTAAGGAGTCCCCCAGCCCTCTCAGGCAGTTGCAACTACCCGAGCCCGTCTTAATGTGCCTCCGGGCTTGGCTGGTCGTAGAGGAAAACATGCTTGTCTGATACAGCCAAGGCCATACCGTCAGTGCCCCCAGCCCGAAGCCTTCAGCCCCATCCGCATCCTCTATGAATATTAAAGACAAGGTTTTTCTTTTGGGTGACGGTGCTCTGGAAAACCTTCAATTGCACGGAGTTGCCCCCCCCGCATGCCTTGCCGAGAGCCTGCCTGCCAGTTCCTTTCTTCCCGGATAGGCCGAGGGATGCTGCATGGCACTTTAAGAAGGATACACAGAAGGGAAGTATGGACCTATCTGGTTTCTGAACTTTTTTGGGGCCTGATTACGGAGCTTTTAATAGCTGACAAAGAGCAGGAGGAAGCCACAAGAGAGAGCGCGATGGGCCGCGGCGTGGCTCTCCCCCGAAAAGAAGAGCCGGAAGAAACAAGTGGGGCCTCCCAGGGCCGAGCGAGACCCGGAAACTCCGAGGGCCGAGCCCACAGAGAGGAGATGCCCTCTGGGAAAAAAAGAGACACACAGAGCGCGCGATATGGCTTGCGTTTCAGTGTCCTTATTATAGGGTCTCCTCATCCCGGAATCAAAATCAACAAGACCAGATCTGGAGACCCGTCGGAAACCCCTCCAAGTAGGTTGAACTGGGCTGACGCTGATGTACTATGGAAGCTTAGCTTACTCAGCCTGTTGTTGTGGGTCCTCAGCTTGCTGAGTGAGCAGACAAAAAATTGAGCTTACATACCGCAAAGCCCAAAGCAAGTGTCCCGCCCTCTCCTTCCTGAGTAGCTCTTGTTTCACCTCCCTGATTCAGGTCTGGACTGTAGATAGATCATGGTGTTTAGAATCCGGGTGTGCTCACATGTGATCTCGGCGGGCCGGAGAAGGTTGAGATGGCCCGGGATGACGAATCTCACATCTCTGCCGTGATCTTGAACGCCCCATCCGTTGAAAATATGACCTCGAATCGACAGTTTCTGGAATGCATGGCATTCAGCTTCATGCAGCTAAAGCCCGCGGAGCATGTTGATCGCGTTCCACTTCTGTACTGCACAGTGTTCAACCAGTCGAGACCTCGGTTTGATAGCTTTCATGCCTGAGGGCATTCCTGCTCGCGCTTAGCTTCGATGCCAGCTGCAGCAGATGACGAGCCATGGTATGCGTAGCTCAGGCCTATTTCGGAGGGATGTGTTAGGGAGGGCGCAACTGGCCGTTGTGCGGGCAAGGCTGGCATCCATGCCAAAGACTGCACGCAGCACAGGCTCGAGCTAAGGGTCTCCCGCAGTCTGCCACCCAAAATGCAGCCGGTCGGCCCGAAGCCGTCGGATCGTCTATGGCCGCTCTACTGCATGGGTCCCAATGCGAAACTGGAGACTCTCCTGCAGCTGTGCGCCTACACACTCTCCTGCCGCAACCGGGCAGTCTTCTTTGCTCGGGACTCTGGAGCGAATCGTGGAGCAACAGCTAACTTCAGGTTTGTGGTGGACTTAGACACCATCGAGTTGGTGCTGATCGCCTGCGTTCGTGACCGTCTCTCGCAGGAACCGCTTGCAGAGGAATGGGCTGCTGGCCAAAAGCGCCGCTATCAGGACGAGCTCAAAGGCATGTCATGGGAAACAAGAACTCACGAGCTTTCGTGCTTGCTAGGCTTGCGCATTCGGTCTTTCATGCTGGAGTTGCCTGGGACAGTTCTGGAGGGTGTGTGTGAGCGTGGGCACCAGTTGAAGTTTTTCCCAGCGGTGCCGAATGCCAAGCGGGAGCCAGAAGATGCCAAGGATGCCCTCACCACCTGGCTGCAACAGTTCGCAACTGTGCACCGTCTCCCAACCGACCCTGTCTGGCGCAGATGCAAAGAGTTTTCTGACATGTGCGACCCTGAACTGCGAGAGATGTTGCTCGAAGGAGCAGGGCATCAGCATCCGGATTCGCTTTGTCTCCGTCTTGCTTGGAGCACTTGGCCGCTCCCTCTAGATTTCCGGGATGGCACCGCAGCCGGTGAGCCACTGGCATCCCAGGAGCCCTCGCGGGTGCAGGAGCTGGCAAAGTGCCAGCAGAGGTGCGAAGAGCTTTCCGAGGAGCTGGCCATGGCCAAGGCCGAGCTTGGCGAGCTGAGAAAGGAGAGCACGTGCCCAGCAAGAGAAGTCCAAGCCGGAACGCAAAGCAAGAGAAGTCCATCGGCATTTCCCCCAGAGACCTTGCTGGATGGAGCGGAGTTTCGCGCGATGCTCGTCGAGAACGCAACCTACAAAGAGCGATGCGAGCAAATGAAGCTGCGGCTCGACAGAGCCGAGGCGGACTTAAGCCGCAAAACGGCGGAGAATCAGCGCCTGTTGGTCGAGAGTGCAACCTTGAGGGAGCGTTGCAGGACTGTGGCACACCACCCTCAGAGTTTGAGGGAGGAGCGAGGTGGTGCCACAACATTAGGCGCAGCTTTTGCAACGATGAACCCAAGTGGAATGGAGGCTTCCTCAAGCCAGGACTCCGACCCTGCGGAGCGGATGGGCTTCATGGTGGTGGATGATTGTGCCTCGTCGGTGTTGAGCCAATCCTCCTGGTTCTCCGTGAAACCACACTGCTTCGTGACAGACGCCATTTTCCGCACACGAAGTTGTGACATCGATTTCTTCTTGATGGGGAAGGACCTGGTCAAAGGCTCTCGTGTTGTGGCTGCGGACAACGAGACCATTCTGGAAGTTGCCGCAGCACCTGAGGTGTTCAAGAAGACCGCAGGCTTTGACCTACAAGCTGGGAATGCAGCCCTGCGAGTGACCGCAGATCACTTGGTGCTTGTCCCCGACCCACAAGCTGTGTCATGCAGCGGCATTTATGTCAAAGCAGGCAATCTCAAGGAAGGTGACCTTGTCATGCTTGACTCGTGGGAGCCTGTGCCCCTGACTGGCATGGAGGCTTGGTCCGGTGAGCAGGAAGTACTGAAGGTGGTTTTCCAGCCGGACCTGCCCATCGCCGTATTCTCGTGTCCGCCGTGCATTCTCAGCAAGGGCCAGAAGAAGCAGCAGACACGTCGCGGAGGCATGCGCCACATGAACAGCCAAAGGGCAGGGGCAGAGCACGACCAGGCCGAAGATGGGCAGAACAGCATTCCCAAGACACAGGGCGCTTACACGGACTGAGATCGCCCGCCTGCCTCTGTGTGAGCTTGTGACTGCACCTACACAATTTTGACGAGCACCCCTCAAATTCAGAAGTTTTGAGCAGCCATGCCCAGATTGAAGTGCACGGCTTTGACGCCGGTGCGCAAGGATCTGTGGCTCAGTGCTGGATTTACCGGGAGTGCAGTGCACGCGGCTACCTGGAGACACGCAGTGCTTGCACGGCCGGCCCCTTCAATCTTTCAATCTTCCCGGGGGCAGCTTGGAAATCTCTCCCCTGCGCAGAAGAACGCAGACGCTCTTTGCAAAAAAGATGCAGTCGGCGAGTAGACTCAGTAGACAAGGGCTCGTTCAGTCGTCACCTATCCTCAGTCCAGCCCACTTCGACCGGGGCTTTCGTCATGAAGCTGGGCGAGCACTTTGAAGTTGCAAGTGATTGCCAAACACTTGGCAGGTGGCCTTCGTCAATCTCCTGTAGTGCCGGTCCTATGATGGAGGACTGTCCCGGAGGGCCCGTTCTGGACATCTTTTCCTCGCGTCGGGCGTGAGTTTAGGCTAAAATGTTCAAGCAGCATGTTTTCTGGCCGTCGTCCTTCGTGCCATGAGGCACGGGGGGCCTGAACGTCGGAGTTTTCTAGTTTGCCTGAATGGCATGCCTTCTGCTGCTTTGCGCTTGACTCTCGAGCTTCTCCTAATGGCGTGAGCCACCCCGGCTACAGGCACGTAGGCTCTGCTGGTCAAAGGAGACACTTCTTGTGCGGCTTGTTTGAATTTTGATATGGATTGGGGAACGACAAGCTTGCAAGGGCACAGAAGCAGCATAGCTTTCAACGCACAAAGATTCAGAGCTTTGGGATCCAAAGCCTCAGCCACAAACACGCTCGTCGCGTTTTGGATGCCATGGGGATCCCAAATCTAAGCATTCAAACCGAGACCTGAACCATCCCAAACACAGCAACCCATCTGGGGTGAATTCGCAATGGATCCGCGGGCGTCGCTGGACCTCACCCGCGAGCTGGCTGCGGCAGAGCAACTGAGGCCAGGAGTTGCATGTGGAATGTGCTGAGTGAGAGTTCCCTGAAGGGGAAAGTAGGATTTCAACTGATTGTTGGGGGATCTTGGACAGGAGCGACCTCCTGGCCTCCACCGCAGCCCTCCGACAGCGGCTAGCCGTGGCGCGGCGGTCGCCCGGAGCTTTATGGGCTTCAAGAGTTTTGTGAGTAATCGGACACGAGAAAGTCCCGAACGGCAGATGCTCCTCGAAGTCAGAGTTACTGCAAAGGTGTGATGGTACTTACTTTGCCCGAAGGCAAGTCTTCCGAGGGCATGAAGATGAGCAACAAATCCCGCTAAACCCCCCAAAACGGCTGGACGTATAAGTCGGAAGCCCCCGAAGAGCAAGGAAGTCGCAGCTCTGGCGAGGCGTGGTGACCAAGCTGTGACACGGCTTGCCTAGGTTCTTCGTTGACATGGGAGTCCTAGACATTTGGGAGGGGGCCCTTATCTATGTGCCTTATGTATAGGACAGCAATAAAGCCACGCAGCTTTCAATAAACTCCCAGTGCTTGGAGTCCCCTTGATTCGTGCCTCAATTCGTCAGCAGTGCCTGGAGCTCGGAGTTCGAAGGAAACTCGGATGGTGATGTTGGGGTCGTGAGCATGTCTGGGGTCATGAAATAAGCCCCCGAACAGCATTACAAGAGGCCTTGTGGTGTACATCTGCTACACGTTTCTTTCTCAGGCATCTTACGGCTACTAGAGCCTGCCATGTCTCCGCGTTTGAGGCAAAGGCTCGGCTTGGGTCCTTTCTCCTTGGCCTCGGACAGCGGAGGCGGCGAGGCAACTGCCAGAGGAGTTCTTTTGAATGCGGGGGGTGGGGTTCAGGGAGTTTGGGTTTCGGGGGGTTTTGGGTGAGCGGGCGGTGTGTGGTGTTGTTTGGGGGTTTTGGGTTTAGTTTAGGACGGCTGCGTCGATGAGTCCAGTCGCACGCTCCTCAGCTACCAACCTGAAGCGCACGGCCAGACGAGCGGGTAACACCAAGCGCCTCCAAACTCCAAGGTCCTACTGAAGGCCCTTAAGCTAGCAGGCGGAGTCTCCATGTTGAAGCCAAGCCTTCAAGAACGCAAGTCTTGCGACAGGTTGCCACGGAGCTCCGCTTGCTGTTGGAGGAGGTGTAGACCAGGGCAGGGGATAGTAGGGGATACTTCCAAGTTTGCAAAACCCACTTTGGGGATCTGCGATTGAGGCATTGTGACGGCTGACGGATGCTGTGCCTGCTTCTAGAGCAGGCCTCCATTGCAGACGACCTTCTACGTGCCGATGGTGAGTCGGCGGCCCTGCGGCAACAGGCTGGGGGGCTTGCTAGACCTTGCGGTCAATCCTTCAAGAAGGAACTCGCTTCGCAAATTCTAGACTTGGCTCGTTCGTGTCAAATTTTTTCGGGTTTCTGGCAGGGCTTCAGTTCGGTTGAGCACGCTTCGACAGGAATGCGCTGCGCAACTCGTGCTGCTTGCAAGCCGTACCTCCGCCCGAACACCAGTTCCAGCGGCCCAAAGCCCTGAGGAGGGACAGCAGGAGGAGCTCCAGCGGCTCCGTGAAGAGGCGAGGCATCTCGAGGACCAGACGAAGGGGGCTTTTCCGGCCGCAGCCTAGCAAGGCAGGAGGCTTCGCAGGGACTGTTCTAGAATCAGGAGGCCCGCCGATACATGAGGAGGCCTGCTGATACGAGGCCTGAAAGCAGCAAAGCTATACTGTCGTTGCCCAGCTCAACTCTTGGATCCCACCGTGAGGAGTCCTCCATGAACGCCAGTACTGAGCTGTGCGCCCAAAGCAGGCGAAGCCGGGATCTCCTGGGACGGGGCTTGGTTTGAGGGCCGCAGGACGCCGCAGCTTCCGATTCTGTAGGTCCTGCTCCGACGCTTTGGCAGCCTCAGGTCCCAGCACGCCAACAGCCCGAACTACACCACAAGCGGATCGCCCCACTCCTACCGCCCGAAACCCAAAGCCTGAAAGACGAGAGAAGGCGCCTGGAATCGCTGCGTGGTGCCTGGCGCGAGGCCAAGAACGCTTCCTCCGTATGGGAGAGTGATGCCTGGCCGAGTCCCATCGGGTTCCATACCGTAGGGCCTAGGGTTTCAACCTGCGTTCATTATTCCAAAACCATGTTTAGGGTCATGAGTTAGTGTTTCGTGGGTGACAACTTAGGTAGGATTCCAGACGTAATGGGCTTTTCGACAACGTCTTGGGGCTTTGCGCGTTTTCGCTTTTGCTTCTAGGGGCAGTCATGGCAGCAGGAGGATCCAGAGAAGTTCATTCGGTCTTTCGGGTCCACTCCTCTGGGATTCGGAGCTGTGAACATTCGGGGCGTGAGCGAGCAGCGCAGAGGTTGGGCTCGGGCTCCCAGGCACATGGCAGTGCGGCCGAAACCCCGGTCAGAAGCCAGCGTCGACCACTCAGGAACTCGCCGTCATGAAAGCGAAGCCCTCGGAGGCTCCGGGAAAATTTTCGATCATTTCTGGCTTGTCTAGGCTATTATGGATTCGCTATGGGCTCCAAGCCTTGAAGCTCTTGGACAGGTTGACAGGACCGAGATTGCATTGGGGTTCATCGTGGCAAGTCGGAGAACACCGCAGCCTCCAAGTCGGCACGCATGAAATCGAATCTTATCACAAACCTGGTCATCTGAATCCTCCGTGCAGCCTTGTGCAGGAAGGCCCTAGCTTGGATGAGCTTTGGGTGACCCAGGCCATGCTCGAGGCGATCCTTCTGCTACTGGTACCCCACAGAAGTAGGGTGTAGGATGGGCTGACGTTGATGGACCTAGCAGCGGTTGCGCATGCCTTGCAGATGGACAACGAAAGTGCTCTACTTCGTCAGTTTGAGGTCTATTGTTTGTGGTTGGGGGTTGGGCTTTGGGATGGCTGTCGTCAAATTGCCGCGAAGGCCAATCACATTACGGAAGCCGCAGTCTTCGATCCCCAAAAGCCTTTGACCCGATCCTTTCAGGTGGAGGAAGCCGACCTCATCGCTCTCTGCCAAAGCCGCCAGCAGGCAACGCGTGAGCTTCGAGCCGAGGCAACTTCGGGGCTCCTGGAGCCACGCCCTAGCTTAAAGCGGACCGGAAGCTAGTAGCAGAGGTAGTAGAAATAGCAGTAGCGCAGTAGAAGTGGAATTGGATAGAAGTAGAAGTGGAAGTGGTAGTGGAACTTGTCTTGTATTCGTGATTCTCCTGCCGTTGTCGCCGTGGTGGTGGTCGTAGTCGTGGTCATCGTTGGTCATCCTTCGTCGTCGTCGTCGTGGTCGTGGTCGTGATTGTAGTTGTGGTTGTGGTCGTGGTCGTAGTAGTCGTCGTCGGTGGTGGTGGTGGTCCCGATTCAGTCACTGCTTTGCAGTTGTTCATACACGGAGTTTATAGCGTTTCAATACAGCGTACGCCACGTGTGCTACTGTCTTTTCATGTCGTTTCTTGGTCTTCTCAGCCTTCTGTTGGTGACGTTGCTGTTGCAAGTATTCCGATGGTTGTTTGTGGAGACCGTGGCACGCGCCTAAAGAATCCTCAGACGTGGATGCCGACAGTCACCGGAGACTGCTCCATGCCCAGATGCCAGTCATGTTCTTCTTGCCGGTCACCCTATTTATATAAGCTTTCTTTGGTCCTTATGGATGAGGCTGCTGCTCTGGAGGCATGCGCCCGGGACCTCGAGAGCCGCAGCGAGGCGGAAGGAGACGGGACGATTGACGAAACAATAAACGACACCACCACCATTTCGACCACAGATGCGGCCAATACCCAACAAGTAATAGTCTATGAAAGTGCCCAGCAAAAGCTATACAGCATGCAACTTAGCACAGCAAACGACTTCAAACTACAACACCTTCGATTCACCACCACCAGCACCAGCACCAATCACAGCAATAACAGTTGCCAGCAACAGCAAAAGCGGTAGCGATAGCAATAGCGCTAACAGTAGCAGTAGCAGTCGGTAGAAGCGGCAGTGGCAGTAGCAGTAGCAGTTGCAGTGG